TAATACATTTGATAAATATTTAATACGTTTAATATGTTTAATATATTTTATAAATATTTAATGTTACAAATATTAAAAATATGTTTGCTATATTTATATGTTTAATACATTTTATAAATATTTAATACGTTTAATATGTTTAATATATTTAATATGTTTACTATATTTATATGTTTAATATATTTTATAAATATTTAATGTTACAAATATTAAAAATATATTTAATATATTTTATATGTTTAACATATTTTAATATATCTGGATGAACTGTCCCAAAAATAAGAACATTGTGAACCAGAAAATATTACATTTTGTTATAACAATATCTATAATCAATAAACAATATCTATAATCAATAAACAATATCTATAATCAATAAACAATATCCAAAATCAATGTCTATATGAGAGGACATTGATCAGTTGTTTACCTCCAACCACAGAACACACTGGAACTATCAATAAACACAATTATTGGGATCAATAAAGAGAAAACTTTAAGTTTGAATAAAAACTACAATCAGAGCGGCTTCTCTACTTCCTGTTTCCTACTTCCTACTTCCTGTTTCCTGTCCGGCAGCAGCAGGAACTTCAGGTTGTTTGTTTGTTTGTTTATTTGTTTGTTTTTGGATCTTTTAAAGATTCCTTCAGTTTCTGTATCAGATATGATGGACGGATCATTACAGACATTATTGATTGATGGATTATTGATGGATTATTGATGGATTATCAGGCTGCTGGATCCTCCTCCGACTCACAGTAAGTTCCCCACTACCTGCACTCCCTCTCTCTCAAGGTCCTCATCAATACCAGCTGCTGCTGCTTTATACTGATATTAAATCAATCAGTTAATCAATCAAAGTGTTTCCTGTCCATGTACGGAGGACTAAAGCTGCCGTTATAATAAATAAATAATTCATTTAATTTGTTAGCACATTGAAACCTTGAGATAAATGCCATACAAATAAAGTTATTATTATTATTATTATTAGACATTTAAACTACTTATTTAAAATTAATCTATTAATTTATCTGACAAATTACATCTTTTAGTTTTTATTCAAATAAATAATCATTCAAATACAAAATAATTTTAATAAGCTAATGATCTTTATTCCTTTGTAAACGCTCTCGCCCTCCGCTAACTGACAGGCTAGCTCTGTTAGCATCGGTCTGCTTTTAGCTGCCGCACATTTAACACCTTTCAGGTTTTGTTTGTTTGTCGTTGTTTGTTTGTGTGAAAAAGTGAGATTTTGGTCACAAAGTTTTTATGATGAATAATTAATAATTACTAATTATTGTGTTTTTCTGATCCACGCCGGCAGCGATGAACAGCTGTCAGTGAAATTAAAAGTTTATTGAGAGAAAACAAAGAAAAGCAGTTTTTGAGATTAAAATAAGATCAGAGGCTGCTGCGCATTTTGATTTATTTATGATCATATTTGTGTCGTGAATGAATTTTCTGTCATCAAGCGATGTCAGACTAATGAAATATGCACAAACACCTTCCTCTTCCTCTTTCATCTCTCCAATCAATCAAACTTCCACAGTAAAACTTTATTTGATTTTCCCGTCAGTCACACAAAAATATAATATTTAAATATTAAAAACGTCTCGATGGGACGGCGTTTTCTTGTTTTCTTGTTTTCTTTGCGTTTGCAGCTTCTGATAAACAAATTAGACTTTGAGATGAAAAGTCGAACGCTGGAAACGAGCAAAAGTTTCCAAACAAACTTTGTTCAGTTTGTTCGGAAACTTTCAGAAGTTCACAGCGAACCCGGATCTAATAAAACATATAAAACAATAACCAGGAACTCAGAGGGAAGAGCTAACGAAAACTAGCACCACACGCTAACAAATCATATCTGCAGCCAAAACCTAAACCGCTAGCTGCTAACTGTTTACTGCTAACTACTAACTGCTAGTTGCCCCAGAGTCAATATATCATCCATAAAGATACAGTGTACACTGATCAATATCATCCATAAAGATACAGTGTATACTGATCAATAATCAATAAAGATAGTGTATACTGATCAATAATCAATAAAAATACGGTGTATACTGATCAATAGAAGTGTCTCTGGCTTTAGTCCCAGACTGTTTATACTAATTAGGGGAGAGTGGGGTAAGTTGAGGGATACGAGACCACTTTTTTTGGACATGCTATATTATGGAAACAGTTCTGTTTACACTCATTCTGTTTGTTTGAAGCGATGCACAACATCCTGAAATATATGCAGATATATTAGTTAGTGACAAAACTATGATTGCCTTGATGTAGTGATCCTAAATATGAAAAATGGCTCATCTTACCCCTCTCTCCCCTACATTATTGATCATTAATCATTAAATCAATAGTTTGATCTGTAAAATGTCAGAAATTATGAGAAACGTCAGAAAATATTAAGTTTTAATTATTTTATTTAAAACAAATAAAAACAAAAAAGTTCAAATAAACAGAAAAAATCTGATTAAAACTGATCGAAGTGATCAATGAAGATAGCATGTTAGGATTAGCATTAGCTTACATTAGCTGCAGCTAATCAAAGCTAACTAATAATAAATATTTAGATAAAAACATCTGTAATTTAATTAACATTAAATTAATTGTTTAACGATGATAATAATGTTTGTCAGCAGGAAGCTTCCGTACAAGAACAAATAAAGATTCAGTCATTATTCATCAGCGGCCTCCAGAGACTAACGTTAGCTTCACGCTAGCAGATAATCTGACTGCAGGGTTTGTTTTCCCCTCCGCTCGTCTCCTCAGGTTGATGGCGGTTTGATGGCGGTCGGTTCCAGGGTTCACCAGCACTTGGCGGAGGGCAGCGGGACTGGTTTGACCCTCCGTCCAGGGTTGAAGATGTCTCGAACTTCAGCCTCCAGACGAACGCCGGGGACCTTGAAGATGGACACCGCTAAAAAACAGAGAGTAGAAGAAGTTTGAGGTTTGTCATAGATTCTTTTCAATTCAATTTATTGTCCTCCAAGGGGGAAATTCATGTCCACATCACTGCACCTGAAGGCAACACCATACACTCAACAAAGAAATAAGCCATCCACAACTAATAATAGAATAACTAATCAATAAATAACTAATCTACAGAACAAAACAAAAACAATCAAATAAATAATACAGGTTTACACACTCAGCGCGCCCCTTTGTTTAAAGCAGCAATAGCTGAAGGGATCGGCCTTTTCCTATAGTGAGCTTTATTGCCCCTCAGTGTTCGGTACCTCGGCCCAGAAGGCAGTGGGGTGAGATATTGATGATACTCTGATACAGTAGTAGTAAAAGATGCTCTGATAAAGTAGTAGGAGAAGATACTCTGATACAGAAGTAGAAGATACTCTGATACAGAAGTAGAAGATGCTCTGATACAGAAGAAGAAGATACTCTGATACAGTAGTAGGAGATGCTCTGATACAGAAGTAGAAGATGCTCTGATACAGAAGTAGTAGGAGATGCTCTGATACAGAAGAAGAAGATACTCTGATACGAGTAGAAGATGCTCTGATACGAAGAAGAAGATCTCTGATACAGTAGTGAGGATGCCTGATACAGAAGTAGAAGATGCTCTGATACAGAAGTAGAAGATGCTCTGATACAGAAGTAGTAGGAGATGCTCTGATACAGAAGAAGAAGATACTCTGATACAGAAGTAGAAGATGCTCTGATACAGAAGAAGAAGATACTCTGATACAGTAGTAGAGGATGCTCTGATACAGTAGTAGAAGATGCTCTAGAAGATGCTCTGATACAGTAGTAGTAGAAGATGCTCTGATACAGAAGTAGAAGATGCTCTGATACAGAAGTAGTAGAAGATGCTCTGATACAGTAGTAGAAGATGCTCTGATACAGTAGTAGGAGATGCTCTAGAAGATGCTCTGATACAGTAGTAGGAGATGCTCTGATACAGTAGTAGGAGATGCTCTGATACAGAAGTAGTAGAAGATGCTCTGATACAGAAGTAGAAGATGCTCTGATACAGTAGTAGGAGATGCTCTGATACAGAAGAAGAAGATACTCTGATACAGAAGAAGAAGATACTCTGATACAGTAGTAGAAGATGCTCTGATACAGTAGTAGGAGATGCTCTAGAAGATGCTCTGATACAGTAGTAGTAGAAGATGCTCTGATACAGTAGTAGGAGATGCTCTGATACAGAAGTAGGAGATGCTCTGATACAGTAGTAGAAGATGCTCTGATACAGTAGTAGAAGATGCTCTAGAAGATGCTCTGATACAGAAGTAGAAGATGCTCTGATACAGAAGAAGAAGATGCTCTGATACAGAAGTAGAAGATGCTCTGATACAGAAGAAGAAGATGCTCTGATACAGAAGTAGAAGATGCTCTGATACAGTAGTAGAAGATGCTCTGATACAGAAGTAGAAGATGCTCTGATACAGAAGTAGTAGAAGATGCTCTGATACAGAAGTAGAAGATGCTCTGATACAGTAGTAGAAGATGCTCTGATACAGAAGTAGAAGATGCTCTGATACAGAAGTAGTAGAAGATGCTCTGATACAGTAGTAGAAGATGCTCTGATACAGAAGAAGAAGATGCTCTGATACAGAAGTAGAAGATGCTCTGATACAGAAGTAGTAGAAGATGCTCTGATACAGTAGTAGAAGATGCTCTGATACAGAAGTAGAAGATGCTCTGATACAGTAGTAGAAGATGCTCTGATACAGTAGTAGGAGAAGATTGAGGAAACATAAAGTCCTTTGAGTTTACAGATGACAGATAGTCTTTGCTGGCTCCTTTTGAAGATGTCAGTGGTGTGTTGGTTGAAACTAAGTTTATTGTCCAGTGTTACTCCAAGGTATTTAAAACTGTTTGGTTATTGATAGTGATGGGGTGCTGTGGTGTTGGGGAAGCAACGATGATTTCTATCTATAATATTTATAACACAATAAATCAATAAAATCATAAATCAATAAAATAATAAATCAATAAAATAATAAGAATAAGAATAAATAAATACAATTTGTAATTTGTATAGCAGAAATATAACAGGTGCAACAATTGACAGACAGGTAACAGACAGACAGTCATAAAGCTGTCGAACTGCTGCAGTCAGTCACCATCAGTCAGAGGAGGAGCAGGGGATTGTAGGAAAGCGAGTGCAGTGTTAGCGTGTATCTGTGTTAGCGTGTATAAGCTCTGAGGTCTTACTGTCCCTGAGGTGCATGATGGGAGGAGGCAGCGTGCTGAAGTACGGGTGCTGCAGGGAGTCCTGTGCTGAGATCCGGTCTGTAGGGACCCCCTTTAACATCCTCTGGACCAGGTCCTCGGTCTTATAGGGCAGCTGGTTCAACCTGATTCCCATCAAGAGGGAAGACCGGCTTGAAGCCATCAAAGGCTCCATGCTAACATGCTAACAATATAGCATACCTCTGGCTCCATAATACTACTATATATATATATATATATATATATATATATAATAAAACAGTTAAACATCAGACATTAGCAGCTGCGTCAGAGTAGGCTAATACTTGCTAACACTTTAGCAACAATAAATGATAGTACAAATAAAGCTTATTTCTTCATGCCAACACTTTAGCATTAATAAAAGTACACTAATATAACTATTATTATACTATACTAATATAATAATTATCACCTTTTCCAAACGGTCCTGAAAAGTTTCGGCTCGGAGCGAACAAATCGCTCTGTGGAGAGAAAGAACGATGTTAAAGCTAACTGAACAACAAACAGAAGATATGAACCTATTTTAATATTAATATTAATATTAATATTAATATTAATAATAATAATAATAATAACATAAAATTGAATATTAAGTAAATTAATAAATAAACTGATTAAATAAAATAAATAAAAAATAATTAAATCAAATAATATAAAATTAGTGATTGATTGGAATACTTATTTATCGGCTATAAATTGATTATTTTAAGCTGTTTGTGTTCTTCGTCACTTCCTACCTCCTCCTCGCTGTGATTGGCTGTTGGGACAGGAAGTGGGTGGAGTCAACTCACCTGGTCTGTAGTTGGGCAGCTGGCTGACTCCAGGCCAGCTGTGTTCAGAGGGGACGCCCAGGACCTGCAGACGAACAATAGATCAATATCTTTATCAGTACTTCCTGCAGCATATGGAGGACTAATGCTGCCATCATAATTTATTAAGCAAAGAAATTAATTATCTCTCTATTGATTTAATAATTGAGGCTTTTATTTCTACATTTCTGTCTTTATTATTTAATCAATCTATATAAGTTATTAATTGATTTATTTTATAATAATGGCAGCTTTTGTCCTCCATATACACAAACAAACAAACAACTTGCAGGAAAGGCGTCCTGGAAGGCTTTTATTTTGAAACATCTGTGCAGGAAGTAAGTTAACTGTGAACAATTAAAAATAAAATATTAAATAAAATCATATCATCTTAATCTCACCGTCCAGATCTTCCGTAGTTGCTCAAACACGTCGGTGTCTCCCGGGAACGCCGGCGCCCCCTGCAGCATCTCTATGAAGATACAGCCGGCTCCCCTGATTCAAACACAAAAACTTTATTCACAAACACAAAAACTTGATTCACAAACACAAAAACTTAAAGTCTGAGTGACACAATGAAGAACTGACCAGATGTCCAGAGCCGTGGAGTAATCTGTGGATCCCAGCAGGACGTCGGGGGGGCGGTACCACAGGGTCACCACCTCAGAGGAGAAGGTCTGACTGGGGATGGACTTGGATCGAGCCAGACCTGAAGCCAGAACCAGAACCAGACACAGAGGTCCAATGAGCACAGACCGAATAAAAGCTGGGAAAAGAAGAGCTACGAGTCCGTCCACCAACCAAAGCCTCATCAATCCTCTCTGATCAATAACCGACCCGAAACCTCAGTGCCATATTCATTCATTCAGGGGCGGCTGTGGCTCAGAGGCAGAGCGGGTTGTTCCTTAATCAGAAGGTTGTGGGTTCGATCCCGGCTCCTGGTGCCACATGTTGAAGTATCCTTGAGCAAGATACTGAACCCTAAATTGCTCCCGATGCCGTGCATCGGTGTGTGTGAGTGTATGAATGTTAGTTTCTGTTTGATGGACTTTTCCATCACTGAGTGAATGTGTGTGAAAGGGTGAATGTGTCTGTAGTGTAAAAGCGCTTTGAGTGGTCGGAAGACTAGAAAGGCGATATACAAGTACAGGTCCATTTACCATGTTAATGTTACATGTACATTAAATTACATCTGTTTAAAACTATAATAGTCTTTAAATCAAACCTTTACGAGCCAAAACAATACGCAGCTATCAATACAGAGATCAATAATCGAACTATCAATAACCTGAATATACACAGAGGGAGCATTAATACAGCAGAGAGATCAATAACGTTTTATTGATGAGAAATGACTGATAGGCTAGTGGCCAGTGGGCAGAGCTCCAGTGGACCTGACCGAAGTCGGCCATCTTGAGTTCTCCCAGGTAGCTGATGAGGAGGTTCTGAGGCTTCAGGTCTCTGTGGAGGATCCTCCGACTGTGGATGTAGCACAGAGCTCTCAGCAGCTGGAACATAAAGATCTACAGAGGCAACAACAACAACAACAACAACAGTAACAACAACAGTCATAATAACAACAGTCATAATAACAACAATGACAACCACAACAACAACAACAACAACAACAGTAGTAGTAACAACAACAGTAACAACAACAACCGTAACAACAGTAACAACAACAACAACAACAACAGTCATAATAACAACAGTGACAACCACAACAACAACAACAACAACAGTAGTAGTAACAACAACAGTAACAACAACAACCGTAACAACAGTAACAACAACAACAACAACAACAGTCATAATAACAACAGTGACAACCACAACAACAACAAAGACAGTAGTCACAACAACAGTAACAACAACAACAACAACAACAGTAACAACAACAACAACAGTCATAATAACAACAATGACAACCACGACAACAACAACGACAGTAGTAACAACAACAACAACAGTAACAACAACAGTAACAACAACAACAACAACAAGATGTTTATGGTTAGAGATCATTTGAGTGAAATACTTTTAGGTATTAATTGATTACGTATTGATTGAGTTTTATCAATCTATCAGTCAGTCTGTCAGTCAGCCCATCAATAACCGATCAATGATCAATCAGAGTTTGAGATAAACGGACCCTGATGTTGTGTGAGTGTAGTCCTCCAGGGTGCTGACTCATGTACTGGGCCAGGTCCGTCTGCTGGAGGGACAAAACACCAGAAGAAGAACCATAAAAACACCAGAAGAAGAACCATCAGTTCACCAACAGTTGTATGTGTGTCATCATCGACCTCTGAGGAAGATCATGTGACTGTAATTTATTTATGTTTGTTTGTTTGTTTGTTTGTTTGTTCTCACCACATATTCAAAGACGAAGGTCAGTGACTCTCTGGTGTGGATGATGTCATGGAGGACGACGATGTTGGCGTGTTTCAGACCTTTGAGCAGAGAAGCTGCACACACACACACACACACACAGAAAGACACACATACACACACAGAGACAATACCACCGTAAGAATCCTCATACCACCATAAAACCTTAATTCCACCTTAAAAGCCTCAAAACTACCCTGAAAACCCCCCAATACCACCTTAAAATTCTAAATTCTGCCACTGTAAAAAATGCCAGGCTAACAGCCGGGCTAACATTAATCCTAGTGATTCACCTGTATTTCCACCGTCAATCCTGTGAGGAATTAATGTGTTTTACAGCATGTCCATGGTCTTTATGTATGTTGCATCATTTTAATTATCCTGCATTAAAATATTACATATATATTGTCATTTCTCATTTCATTTAAATCTGTTGGCTGTTTGTAATTGCAACAGTCTTTTTATACTGATTCAAGTGGTAGTATTATTACTCAGGACAAGTGTTATATTGCTATGCTAATGAAGACTGCTTGTCAAAATGCATAAACATTTGTTTATTGCAGTAATTGAGATTACAAAACACAGCTGATGAAGTTGCAAAGGTGTTTTCAATGAAATCTGTGACAAGGGCAATATAGTATATGTATACACATCTAGTACATAGTGTTTTTTATTATTTCCTTACTCTTACTGTTTATTTATACTGTTTTCTCTCTATCCACTTTGCCGCTGTTACATTGGAATTTCCCCATTGTGGGACAAATAAAGGAATATCTATCTATCTATCTATCTGTCTATCTGTCTATCTATCTATCTATCTATCTGTCTATCTGTCTATCTATCTATCTATCTATCTATCTGTCTATCTATCTATCTATCTATCTATCTGTCTATCTATCTATCTATCTATCTATCTATCTATCTATCTATCTATCTATCTATCTATCTGTCTATCTATCTATCTATCTATCTATCTATCTATCTATCTATCTGTCTGTCTATCTATCTATCTATCTATCTATCTATCTATCTATCTATCTATCTATCTATCTATCTATCTATCTGTCTATCTATCTATCTATCTATCTATCTCCCATTCACCTGTTCCCTCTTCATAATGGCTTGCCCTTTCTTGGAGGATGTACTGGATGAGGAAGCCCTAATCCTCAGACGAGCATTTAGTCATGAAAGAGTCTTCTGGGACAGGTCAGACCCATTGGCTGTTGGAGAGGACTATCTCATTGAGAGATACAGATTCTCAGGTGATGGACTAAGATATTTATGTAGGCTGCTGGGTCCAAAAATACAGCACCAGACGGCAGGAAGCCATGCTCTCACTGTACCACAGATGGTCTGTGTTACATTGAGATGTTTTGCAAGTGGGAGCTTCCTTTATTCTGTTGGGGATGCAGAGAACCTCAATAAAGGAACCATTTGCAGCACATATCCTGGCTTGGTGGGCCGCCCCCTGTGCCAGTTCTATGGGCTTTTTTTAAACTGCTACAATCATACAGACATTCAACATGTCAGCAGACACCTAATCTATTCACCTCATTTATTCACTGTTATCTACTTTAAAGTCACTGACCAGCCTGCAAAATGTTCTTGTATTTAACTTTAACTTGCTGCCAGGTCCTTTTATGGCCAGACAAGTTTGTTCTTTATGAAGGATAGAAAGATAAAATAGATAAAAACAGATTAAATGACACACATTGTGGATAATTGTTTGCACTTAATCATACTCTACATTTAAGTAACATGCACCTCTACTTGCCACATTTAAAGCAAAGTGTACAACAGTTGATTAGTGGACTTAAAGTAACTCCTTTAGTCCTTTAATTGGAGCCTAATGATGACAGTTCCAGTGGAGCACTGTTTATTCATTGTACAGTTTTGGACTACTTAAGCATTAAGCCGGTCCGCTATTGTCTGCCAGGCTTTCTCTCTTTCTTTAATTATGGCATTGGTATTGCCTTTGTTTCTTATGATATCTTTCACCTCTTCATAGAACTCCATCAGGAGCTGTTGTTCAGCGGCCGTGAAATATGAAGCACGACTCTTATCCATGTTCCCATCGGTGATTCTGTGAGCGATCGCGAGGTCTATTTCAGTATGCCGTGAACACGCACTTATCCCGACTATCTACACCTGGCTTAACATAGCCGCACCTTTTCATCCTGGCTCGGCAAACGTGCAACCGATTAAGCCAGGATGCGCTGAGCAGGCTAGGTCAAGCTGCGCTTACTCAATTATCCTGGATTTCTTTATCCTACTTTTGTGCAATACCCCTGTGGCGATAGAGTATAATAACACTGTCAGTAACAACAACAACAAGCACAGGGAGCTGCTCACCCTCCCTGATGGCGGTGAACGGGAGGCCTTCCTCCGTCTTCATGCGGATCACCTTCAGAGCTACCAGCTGCCCGTTGATCCTCAACAGAGACATGAACAGAACATCAACATCCCCTACTGCAGCACCAATACTACCTTAACAGAGACTGCTTCCTGGAGAGGCGGACCTGCTGATCCCCTTGTAGACGGACGCGTACGCTCCCTCGCCCAGTTTCTCCAGACTCACGTACGAATGAGACGCCCCGAACTGAAGACCTGGTTTCTGAGCAGAGGACACGGTTTAACATCAGGACATGTGGTCAGAGCGGGAAGAGGTCTGGGACTGACAGGTGAGGTTTCTGACCCAAGTGAAGTGGTTCTGGTCCTGGTTCCCTCCCAGCGGGTCACTGTTGCTGCGTCCTCGCTGCACTCGCAGCCGTCGGACCTGCAGAGTGTGGAACCAGTGAGGCTGGGACCCGGAGGGGGGCGAGCCAGAGTGGTCCGGATCCAGCTGAGACAAACACACAAGACCACCTTAAACATTTTCAAAACCACCTTAAAACACATAAAACCATGTAAAATGAATTAATGAAATTCCACCTTAAAAACATAAAAGCCACACCGGAACTCAAAACCACCTTAACGATACCACCTTAACAAAACTACCTTAAAGGGACACTTCACCCATTTGCATTAAGCTTTGTATCATTAGAAACCCAGTCATATTTTTGAATGGTCGTGCATCATTCCCTCACTTTCCCTGAGAGGGGAGAAATAAGGATGTTAGTGTGTCACTTCCTGCTTCCAGTGATGTAAAAATCATCATTTTGCGTCATTGGAAGCAGGAAGTCTCATATCTCCGTAGAGGGGGTGAGACTACAAACACTACACGCTACAGACCTATTACAGATCAGTGGGTGGGACTTCACCAGCAAACTAAAAAATATAACCGCCATCTTGTTTGGAAGCTAAGCGAAGGCGCTGTGGAGCCAGACGTTATGACTATGTTAATCAATGTAATATGGAAGAAATTTCGAAAGTATGATGGTCGAATCAGATGGTCGTGGCTACCTTTATGAGCCGCAATATAGCGAAGAGCAGCTGAGGCTGAACAGGAGGCGGCTGAGGCTGCTGCAGCCGAGGCAGAGGACCTGGCTGTCGCGGACGAGGAGCCCGGACTGGCTCGAGCTGGGGCGGACTGCTGGTGCCTGTGCTCTCGCTGTGCGCCTACGGACACACGGACGTCTGACTGTAAAGTGAGTGTTTCTATTTTCTGTCTTATAACAATGTGGCATGTATGTACACAATTTGTTCGTCAGCCAACTGAACTAACGTTAACTTCTTTACTGCACAAACAGCTTGCAGTTGCATTGCTAACTACTGTGGCACGCTACACACAAAGACCATGCATCTCTAACTGTGTCCTCAATGTCTTGTAGACAATATCGCCTAACAGCCTTTCTGCAATGGGTCCTGCAAGGCGAGAGATTGGGTCGAGGCGTTGTTTTACCCGCTGATGTGGTGCAGGCTCTCCGACAGTATCCAGCTCCAGATGGCCAGTACTGCGGCACCGAGACGTTGAGGACGCTCAGGAGGAACTATAACTGTCATTGTTAACATATTTATTGTTGTTGTTGTTGATATATTTCTGTAAATAAATGGTTCACATTCATATTGTTGTAGTCTTTGATAGTGTTAGTGGGAGCGGCTTGCGGAGCTGTGCATTGTGGGAGTTGTTGTCTTTAATAC